AGATGTGAGTAAGCATAAGGAGAAGCTGAGGAACAGCTCTGCTGATATCGAACTTCGATGGAGACTTGGAAATCCGTTTGAGTTTCCCACTGGTACAGCTGCTTCTTACCAAACCATCTGTTTGATTCTCTCTGAACGTCATCTCAAACTCAATGGTATGAATGGTAAAATGAGTGTTGTGGTGTAAGAAAAAGATAAACTATAGTAGATACGAACCATTAATGAGTTGGAAAAGGAAATTGAGATTTTATTAACAAAGGAACTAACACAGAAGAAAGGTGGTAGTATCGGTTCTGTGATCGGAAGATTGGTTGGGAAGATATCTCCTCTTGTGATCAAGCATGCTCCCAACATCCTTGGTACACTAGGACTGGCTGGTATTTCTGGTGCTATTTCTGGAAGCACGCACAGAGCCACAGCTGGTCGGGGGATCGGTCAGTATGTGGAATATGGATTGATGCTAACACCAAACCAAAAGAAGAAACTTGGTAGTGCTCATGATGGAATCACACTCCGGTTAACAAAAAATCAGTTATCCGGAAATGACATGCTTTTGCTCACAAACCGACAGGTTACCAAAATCAAAAAATCCAACCAAAAAGGAGTAGGAATGGATCTCAAGTTATCCAGTACTCAACTCAAGAAGCAAGGAGGGTTTCTCGGAGCATTAGCAGCTGGATTGTTAGCACCAGCTCTGGGGAAAATGATAGGTTTAGGAAACACCGGTGAAGGATTACAACTGCCTGGAACACGGAGGGGTAGAGGGGTAAAAAAAGACCAACAAGGAAAGGGGTTACGTCTACCAGGAACGTGAGACCACTGACCAACTTTGACAATGATGAAATTATGAGATCTATTCCACATTTCAGAGGAACTTTCAGCAAAGATCAGCTTCCACAACCTCTATCATCAAAGGATTGTTTGGTAATCAATCTCCAAGATTTCTTGGACGGTGGTGGCACTCACTGGGTTTGTGTGTTTGGTAATGAATATTTTGACAGCTTTGGCTTATCACCACCAGAGGAGGTAGTCAGTTGGATGAAGAAGCACAATAAAAAAATGTTGGTATGACTCATCAAAGATACAGATTGATGATAGTGTCCTGTGTGGATACTAACAGATACATTTCATAGAAGAAAGAAGAAAAGGGAGAAGTGCTCTTGATGTCCTGCTGGATTTCACTCAGCACCCCAGTCAAAAAAATGAGCAGTTGGTATTGTAAAAAAACAGGGAAGAAGAAAAGAGATAAAAAAGATAAAAAGGAAAACACAAAAACTTTTTTTTCACTAGTTCCTTTTTCTTTTTTTGGTATTAATTGTATAAGCATCATCAGTTTTATCATTCACAGAGCTTGTGGAACATCGATTTTTCATGATGGGATTTGTTGTTTCTTGGATAAGACTTCTCACATTTCTCACAGACAACTCTTTCATTGGCATATTGTCTGATTTTCTTGTGATTATCTTGATACCACTCTGATGCTGATCTTCCAGGCTTGTCTTTATTCATGGTAACCAGTTTTTCGATCCAGTATAGTTCTCTCCTCTTACGCTCATCTTCATCAAACATTGACAGAGAGTCGATCTGGATAATTTCTACATGTCCGAGATCAAGCAGAATGAATGAGGTCATAAAACCCGGTTCACCTCTTTGGTAGGCTTTGTAAACTGATCGGTGACAGTACATCCGATTTTTCAGTGGTAGACAAGTGGACCCCACATATACCTGATCGGTGTGTTGGCTCACAAGTTTGTAAATCTTACAAGGAGAAGTCATCTTTGCTGATAGTAAATCTTTGAAATTCTCATCGGTATACTCCTATACAACAGGATTCAAATAATCGTTTATGATGACAACTCGGTGTAGAAAAAAAAGATGAGAGTTGGTCTCCTTTCTCTTCTCTTTTCTTTCTCTCTTCTATTTTTCTCACACATATTCATCAAGAAATTCCTGAACCATCTCTAACAGACGATTGCTGGAGTAAGAACTCCTGAATTTTTCATACTTTGGATTTTCACAAATTTCCAGGAAAATGTTTGGGATGATATTCATTTCTTCATCAAGAGCAGTTTCAATCACATCACCAAACAAATCATTGATCAGTGGAGGACTATCTTCCATTGGCTCATGAAATTCATCACCATCATCAGTAAAGTGGATGTGAAATGACTCTATGTCCATTAGTTCATCACAACCAGACAGAGTTTGGTGGTCATCAGGGATAAAACTCACGAAAAATTCATCTGGGAAAGACGCAGCCATCGTTGTAGATAATTGATTTCACAAATTCTATCAAACTTGTTGGATCTTACCCTATATTATGTACAGTTTTGATAATATAATTGGTGATATGGGTGGAAAGAAAAAAAGATAGATAGATAAACATGAAAATTTATCACATAATCTGCCATGGGACAGTTGGGTTTGGATACTCTCTCTCCAACATTCCACATTTCCGTGAAAATATTCTGCGGGTGAGTTTGGAACTCACGAAAGATGATCAGGAGCATGACACGATCAACATCCACATATATACCAATAATCCACAGATTTTTATGTCATTGACAAAAGCAGAGCTTGACAAGATGGATAATGGAAATTTCAGACTTGTTTGTGCTGAAAAGATTGATGAGAGCATGGAAGATCACTGTGAAAATATGGGATTGTTGGCACATCTTTGTATCCATGAGAAATAAAAAAGTAGATAGATAGATAAAGATGAATGTTCATTGCCTATCGTGTAAGAAAAAGCAACAGATGAGGGGAATACAAGGAGAAGTCACATCAACTGGTCAACCATATGTCAAGGGTAAATGCTCAGTTTGTGGTCGATCATGTTCACAATTTATCAAGAAATCGGAAATCAGAGAAGGTGGATTCCTGTTCGGTTTGTTCAAGATGATAGGTTTAGGAGTAAAAAAAAGATAGATACGAAATGGACTGATGACCTGGTTGATGAGTTACATAAACCGAAGCGTGTGAATTTCACAAGGAGACAAGTGACTGTGAGTGAGATTGATGAAATCTGGTCTGCCGATCTCGTGGACATGACAGCTTTTCGTAAATACAATGATGAAATCAAATTTCTGCTTACTGCCATTGATCTGCTCAGCCGATATGCTTGAGTTGTCCCGCTCGAATCCAAGAAAGGTGTTGACATCCAATCAGCATTTCGATCCATCGTGAAAACTTGCAGCAGGAAACAACGTAAGCTGTGGGTTGATCAGGGTGCCGAGTTCTATAATCGAACGTTCAAACACTTGCTTGATGAGAATCAGATCACGATGTACAGCACTCACAACGAAGGAAAGGCTGTTGTAGTTGAGCGTTTCAACCGAACTCTGAAAACCAGGATGTGGAAATACTTCAGTGCTAACTCCACCAGCAGGTACATCGATGTCCTTCCACATTTGGTAGAGAAGTACAACACGACAAAACACAGAGGTGTTCGGATGACACCAACTGAGGCATCACGGGAGAAGAACGCCGATCGAATCCGTGACTCACTGGGTGAGAAATCTCCACTATCCAGGTCCACGAAATTCCAGATAGATGACCACGTCCGACTGGTGAAGCAGAAACCGTGACATTTCGAGAAAGGATACACTCCGAACTGGACCGAGGAGGTATTCAGGATCACCGATATTCTCCCGACTAGACCCACTACGTACTTTGTCAAGGACTTCGATGGTGAACCCGTTGATGGGTCGTTCTATGAACAAGAGCTCCAGAAAACTACTCGAATCTTCCGGATCGAGAAAGTGCTCCGAAAGGATAACAAGAATAAACAAGCCCTTGTGAGGTGGAAAGGCTACTCGGCAAGATTCGACAGCTGGGTCCCGTTTGATCAACTCAGCTGGTTGTGATCACGGATCACAGCAGCAGATTTGTTTGTAGACAAAAAAAATCTCGGGGTAGACCTACTAACTGTCAACAACACCGGATCCGGACTCTTGTCAGTACTAATAGACATAAACAACTACATATGTGTTTGACCCCGATAGCCTGGTTGGTAAATCTACTACACACAGGATAAGAAATCGAGAGTAGGGGGGTTCGAATCCCGGAAACTGAGACCACATGCCACAATGCGCATGTCTGAATCCTGTTTCACGAAACTGAGACCACATGCCACAATGCGCATGCCTGAAGTGATCAATCTTCTACTATACCAAAAAGAAGATCAGAATCACTACTGTTGGATCAAAGATTTCAGCAGATTGTGCTACGATCAGTCAAAGCATAAAGCCAGGAAATTCTTCTGTACAAGATGTCTCCAACCACACAACACAGAGAAATCCCTGAGCAATCATCAGGAGTATTGTGATAATGTCACTTGATTATCAGCACACATGGTACTACCAGAACCAGACGAAGATGGAAATCTACCAACACTGAAGTTCATTAATCATCACAAAATGCTACAATGTCCCTATGTAATCTATGCTGACACTGAGGCACTGATCAAGAAAATTGATGGAGTGAAAAGCCAACAAACCAGCCGGGGTTCACAGCATGTTCCTTGTGGTTTGGGTTATGCCGTGGTGCGTTCTGGCGGAATGATGACAAGTCAGTGTTTCTATCGAGGTGCTGATGCCATGGATGTATTCTTTAATAAACTCAAAGCTGAGGAGAAGAAAATCCAATCAGCACTGAATAATCCAGCACCGATGGATCTCTCTAAGGATCAAGAATAATTGTTCAGAGAGACAGAAGACTGTTGGATTTGTAAAAAGAAACTTGGTGATGACAGAGTCCGTGATTACGACCACATCACTGGTGATTTCCACGGTGCCGCACACAATGACTGTCACATCAAACTGAGAATTTATCCATACAAGCAGCACATCCCTGTGGTTTTTCACAACCTGAAAGGCTATGAAAGTCATCATCCCATTGGAGCAATCGGAAAGACAGATGTTGAGACCGTCACATACACGGATAAGGATGGTGTGTGTAAGAGTAAAACTGTGGGTGAGATATCAGTCATTCCCAACAACATGGAGAAATTCATCTCATTCATGTGGAGACAGTTCCGGTTCATCGACAGCTACCAGTTTCTCAATGCGTCACTCGATAGACTGGTGAAAACGACACCAGATGAGTCATTCACTCACACCAAGACGTTGTCAAACCATCAGCTGTTGATGAGGAAAGGAGTATACCCCTATGAGTACATAAACAGCTTCTCCAGGTTCGATGAGACTCAGCTACCAGCACAGAGTAAGTTCTATTCTTCACTGTCTGATGAGGGGGTGAGTGACGATGACTACAAACATGCTGAGACAATGCGGATGAAATTCGACTGTCAGACTCTTGGTGATTATCGCGACTTGTATCTCATGACCGACGTGTTTCTCTTGGCTGACATCTTTGAGAATTTCAGAGTAGAAGCTGTCAGAACGTATCAGCTGGATCCAGCAAATTACTACACTCTGCCTGGATTTGCCTGGGATGCCCTGTTGATGTACTCAGGTGTGTCCTTGGAATTACTAACAGGCTATGATCAACACTTGTTTGTAGAATCAGGAATGAGAGGTGGTGTGTCGATGGTCTCACAACGATATGCTGCTGCTAATAATCACTATCAGGAGAAATATGATGCTGATCAGCCATCGTCATTTTTCCAGTATCTCGATGCCAACAATCTCTATGGTTGGGCAATGTCACAGCATCTCCCAGTGTCTGATTTTCGGTGGGAGAAACCATCTGAGAAACTCCTGAACAAGATGCTGAACACTCAAGATGATTCCTCATCGAGGTATATCGTCGAGTGTGATCTGGATTATCCACACGAACTTCGTGAGGAGCACAACGATTATCCAGTTGCTCCGGAACGTCTTTCCGTCAATGAAGACATGCTATCTGCATACCAGCAGGAGCTTGTTGATAAACTCAATTCTTCCGGAGTAGATGCTCTCAAACTTGTACCAAACTTGAGGGACAAGACAAAGTACGTTCTCCATTACCGAAACTTGAAACTCTACACTCAGCTCGGACTACGTTGTGTCAAAATTCATCGTGCTCTGAAATTTACTCAGACACCGTGGATGAGAAACTATATCGAGAAGAACACTGATCTCCGGAAGAAGGCAAAGGATGATTTCTCTAAGGACTTCTTTAAACTGATGAACAATGCGGTGTTTGGGAAAACTATGGAGAACGTTCGGTTGAGAGTCAACATAAAATTGATGAGAAGTCGTGAGGAGAAAAAAATCAAACAGCTTGTTGCCAAACCAACGTACAACCGCCATGTGATCTTCAACGATGACCTGGTCGGGGTACAAAGTAACAGGACAAAGGTCGTCCTCAACAAGCCCATATATGTTGGGATGCCGATTTTGGATCTCTCAAAGACGCTCATGTATGACTTTTACTACAATCACCTGAAAGCATTGTATGGCTCTGATGTGAAACTCTTGTACACCGATACATACAGCTTGGTTCTTCATTTCTTTACTGATGATCTGTTTGATGACATGAGTGAGTTTCTTGATAAGTATGATACAAGCAATTATGATCAATCACATCCGTTATATTCCGAGAAAACAAGAAAGTTGTTGGCCTGTTCAAAGATGAACTCGGTGGAAAACTGATCACTGAGTTTGTAGGACTTCGTTCCAAGATGTACAGCTACTCTGGTGAGGAAAGCGGAAAAAGAGCAAAGGGGATGAAAACAGCAGTGCTCAAGAAAACTATCACACATGCTGATTTCCGAAATTGTCTCTTGGATCAATCCGTGTTCCATCGAGAAATGACAACACTCCGGAGTCATAGACACGTTATTTTCGGAGAAACGGTTAATAAGATAGCCTTATCACCATTGGACACAAAACGATACATCACAGAAGATGGATGTAGTACGTTAGCGTTTGGACACCATGAAATACCAAGATATCTGGCTGAGGAGGGGTTTGATAGCAGCATTTCATTCATGAGTTATGCTCCGGATATGATGAAGCAGTTTGTCCAGTGATCATGAGAAAAAAGAAAAAAAAGAAGATTTTTTTACTTTTAAATAATCGACGCGGAGACAACAATTTTATAATAGCTATAAAGAGAACAAATTCTGCTGTCATCGCCACACTACAACAAAGTCATGAAGGTTTACCAAAATCGATTTTCTTGTCACAATCATCAGTGGAAAGCCGTGACTGAAGAATAACCATGCCAAATCAATAATTTATATACATTTAATAAATGTGTTACGAGAACAAAACAAAGTGCTAAAAATAGAATGAGGTCGTAACACATTTATTAAATGTATATAAATTATTGATTTGGCATGGTTATTCTTCAGTCACGGCTTTCCACTGATGATTGTGACAAGAAAATCGATTTTGGTAAACCTTCATGACTTTGTTGTACAGTGGCGATGACAGCAGAATTTGTTCTCTTTATAGCTATTATAAATTTTTTTACTTTTCTTACACATTCGATTTTCTATAATTCTCCCATATAGCATCAAGTCTTTGTTGTGACTTTTTATCCTTTGGAATGACTGGTTTGATCTTGATCACATCATCTTCATCATCAATGAGTTTCGAAAGTAGGAATGGATAACTCACTTTGACTTCTTTCTCTTTATTTGCTACTTCCTTGATCCTCTGAATTTTATCAACAAGATTGTTGAATGGGGTTTTGCTAAGATATTTTGGTAAACCAACCTTGTTCAGGTTTTTCTCCAAATTTGTTTCGATCCCTGTTCTGGTTTTAGATTTTTCTATTTCTTCGAAGAAAGATGTGATATCATACAGATCACTTTTCTTCATCTCATACACCTCAAGATCCTCTGGAGTTACTTCATTTTCCAAAATCATCAATTCTATATCTGTGGGAAACCATTCCTGGTTTCTATAGTCAATGTAGTCCGCTATCATCTTATCTTTCCTGGTAGAGTGTTCATCATCTATCCATGTATCCATCACTTCTTCTTCTTTGTTTGTGGAGTAGTCGTCATCAAACCACGCATCCATGATTTCACTTCTAAAAAAAATATTTTTTGCTTTTTGTTTTTGTGGATTGTTTGACTATTTTTACAAATCATTTGCTGAAAATTTCACCTCTTCTTTCTGGAAATGCTTTATAGCAACAACAACAAGTTTCAGTGTCATCGGTCTTGTCTTTGTAAACCCACTTCAGGTGAACGATACCATTGACGGTGTCACCTTGCTTGATCTTGTTGGTTTTTGATGGTTTGTTGTCCTCATCAAAGATAGCACAATCAGGAGAAATCTGGAGAAACAGGATTGGGTGGTCACACTTTGCTGTGTTAATCCTGCTTCTAACCGTATTTCCTTTGGACTCTATCTTCTTCTCGATACAACGGATGGATTTACAAATGTCACTGTCAGAAGAAAATTTCAGAGAGTCCTCTTGTCCTTTCTTCACAGCATTCATGATATTTGTCTTATCAGTGAATTTTATGTATGGTTCCTTACCATTGATTGTCAGTGATCCACATTTATTCCCATCCTTGATTGTAATTCGACAATCAATGGAGTCAGTGAGAATAGCAGCTGTGTCAAACGGGGTTGGTTTCTTGCTTGTCATCTTGGAAAGTTTGTGTAGAATCGTTGGTTATACCTATGGCAACCGTTCCTCTAATATAGAATAATTAGGATTCTCATCCAAAGCTGAACCACCCGAAGTTGGCTCAGAAAAACGATCCCACATCAGTCCTCGAAGTGAGCCAAGATTGGGTAAGTGAAAAAGCTCAAGTTGGCTCACTTTCGATTTTCTCAGAGGGAGCAAGTTGACTCACTTTTCTGGAACTAGGTTGAGCCAACATGGGATCAGTGTTTGGAGTGGTAAAATTAGTACTTGGAGGTGTAAAATTAGTACTTGGAGTTGTAATATTAGTACTTGGGGTGTCTATCCTTTACTACAGTAGTATAGGACGAGGGGGGAGACTTTGGAGAGCGGCCCGAAGGGCCGATCGAGAAAGTCGATCTTGGCTCACCTGGAAGGTGAGCCAGAACCCCCTCGTCCTATACTACTTACGTAAATCAGGCATCTTTCGTTCCAGTGGTGATGGCGGCAAGTGGAGGGATGGGGAAGGCGGCATCGGCATTATACGCAAGGGTGGTCGCTCTTCTGGCAGCAAAGAAGTCCGAGCAGTATTGTCACGTCATGGCCCATGTTTTAGCTGTGTTGGAGACCCAAGTTCCGGTATAATGTAATGGATTTCACTGTTTTTTGAAGAAGTTTACGTATTTACTAGTATGCTGTTGCGTCTTGTGTGCTGCGTGTGCGGCTGGTTGGGTTTTTTTCTTTTACTTTGAGTTCTTTTCATTTGCTTTGAGTTCTTTTTAACACACGCGCGCGTACACACACACACACACACGCATTTACATGTGCACAAAACCACACACACACACACACACACACACACACACACACGCATACACATGTGCACAAAACCACACACACACAAACACACACACACGCATACACATGTGCACAAAACCACACACACACTTACCATTGGACCATTGGACGCCCATCGCAGGAGGGGATGATAGCGATGCTACAGCAGAAGCCATAGCAGCTTGTCCTGGGATTGCACTATTCAACAGATTGCAAGGCTGAAGAATTGACCGCCACTATTCAGCCCGGTCTACACGACACAGCTATGAAGTGGCTTTTTCGGGTCAGTGAATCCCTACCTTTTGGTCTTTTTAATTTTTTCCTGCACACACATCAAACCACATACTCTGGCATGCACTGGCTATTGGTAACCACCCGGGAGAATGAAAGAAAAGTCAGGAGGAGTCTGAGAAAGAGAAGAAAGACGTGTGTGACCATAATCGTTTGGAATCGAACCCACACCCTATCGATTGGAAATCGCTGCACATACCACTGCACCATTCGGGATACACACACACACACACACACACACATACACACGAATAAAGATACGCGTGAGTTTTGCGCTCCAAACTTTCTTGCTTGCACTGTTATGCATCTCAACTTCCGTAATTACTTACACCCTATATTTGATTTTCATATTACCCGATATTGCTATTAGTTCGCACAAACTTGAACCTTTTTGCGTACATACCCTCGATATTCCCCGTTGCCTTACACATTTATCTACTGAAGTATATACTAGTAGTTATAGGAAACTAGAGGCCACATGCCACGTACTGCTCTTTTCTCTCCGAAACTCAACACTTGCATGATAGTTTCCTAAAACTTTGAAATTCTCCGTGAAGCCCAAATTTGAAATTGCAAACTAGTAGTTAGTTCTTGCATCACTGAAGTAAAAATCGTTTCAATATTCCCCTTTTTGTTCTTTGTACTTGTACAATGTACATGTACATACACATGTACTTTGATTTTGTTTCTAAATTTCAAAATTCAAATATGGACTCAAACTATTGAATGCTGTTCTCATTTGCAAGCACGGTCCCAACCTATGAATCAAGAAAGAAAATGTGGCTAAATTTAGACCATTCAACGAGCATGCACACATAAATATACACACAATCACACCGTGTACCACACACACGCACGCATACACATGTGCACATATACACACACACGACAAACATGCTCGTCCAGTTTCCGCTCCAAACTCTCTAGCACTGTTATGCATCTCAGATTTCGTGATTCGTGACCCTTACTTTGATTTTTCAGCTGACCTTCCTATTAGTTCGCACAACCCTTTATGATTTTGTACGTTTCCCTCGATATTATCGAGTCTTGATTCCTGTAGCCGATCTCTACCTGTATGCAGAAACGTGAGGAAGTCGGTAGCAAAATCGCAACTACCGGCAGACTTCGCAAAGCCATGTATATGCATTAGTATTCTGCACCCCACATTCACACTAAGCCAGGGCAACAAGAATTTATTATTAATTTTCTTATTACTAGCTCCAACACTTCTCCAAGGCGCAAACCAAAAACCTTCCAACTTGGAAGGCTCAGGTTCGGAAAGTTTCAAGAGGGGAAGGAAAGCGCAACGAAGAAGAGCATGAGCTTTTATTTTCTTCTTTTTTTCTTCTTCTTTTTATTATTGACACAGCTACGCATCACGGCAACAAAGAATGCCGAAACATACTGAACCTGGCGCCTTCCAAGTTGGAAGGTTGTTGGTTTACGCCTTGGAGAAGTGTTGGAGCTAGGTGTCAGGTCACCGAATGTCTCATTACTCCTTGTCAGTTTTGTGCCATTTTGTCGCACTTGCTGACTGTATAAGATCTAGTTCCGTTGGTGGACAGTTTGTCATAACTCGTAACATTTTGTACTTTTCCTTTCTTCATCGTAACTATACTGGCTCACCATCCGAGTCCAAAAGAGAATACTACGCATCATATCAACATAATACTAGCGATCATTCACGTAGTCATGACCATGGTATTTGGTATGGTATTGATATTATGAATTCGGTATTTCAACAGTACAAGGTACAACTTGGGAAGATCCGAATGACATAGATACATAAACATAAAAGTGGAGTAGGTGCTACAGCTGATCATTTTATCGCAGGTTGTAGGACTAAACTAATACCAGTATGCAAGTACACAAGAAATAAAAGCTGAATAAATACCACCATCAGGCAACTGATGATTCCAAAACTGGCAGCGTGAAC